TCTGTTACGAAAAAAGAACTAAACAAAATGAACACAAAACGTAACTGGAAAAACCGAATGAAAAAAGAATGTTAACAACAGATACTTTTTCACACCCAACCCAGTTCTGCGGAATCACAATCAACGTTGAGTTTAAGCAAGCGAATGAGCCAATTGGAGTAAAGTGCCATGCAGATTTAAATGTTTCCAACTTGTGACGAATGCATCTATCGAATTTTTTTGCATGCTAGTTAACATTCGTGTCAGTCAGCTGTTGGCTCTCACGCTGGCCAATAGAATTTTCCTGCCTATTCGTGGCAGCAAGCTATAGGTTCTTACTTTGGTCAGTAGAAAATGGCCGCAAACTACATGAAAACTGCTGTAGAAGCATGAAAAAATCGATTATTTCCACTATCGATGAGAGTTGGGAAATGCAAGGTCGGTCTTGGCCTTGCCGCTGACTTAGAGCATGTGCATGTAAATTTTGGTGCAAATCCGTCGAAAATTGCGGCCGTGCATTCGTTACACACACACACACACACACACACACACACACACACACACACACACACACACACACACACACTACCTTTTATAGATAGAGATAATTATTATTATTATTATAATCTTTATTGTTATTGTTGTTTTTATTTCTTTTTTTCGCATTAAATTACCGTAGGTATTTTACGAATTTGTCCCCTTTTAATTATCTCTGTTCTTTTTGCAATATTTTAATTTTTTACCTGTAATAAGGTGATACTGTTCCACGGTACAGTTGTCTGTCGCGAGATCCTCTTAAGTGTGCCGCTAAATATTGCCACGGCATACATATATATGTCTATGGGAGTAGTAATAGTTCAGCTTTAATATTAAAATTAATGAATCAGTATTGATTTTTTTTCAAATGATTCTTTTCACTATTCTTCGATTATGTTATTTTAAATACTTTGTTTTGAGATTCATTTTTTTTAAAAGTATTTTATTTTTAAAATTTTCCCTTATTTGAGTCTTAACGTTTTTTTTATATAACTGCATTGAACATTCTTTTTTTAATTCAAAATTTGTAGTTTTATTTCATAATATTTAAATGTATATGCTTTAAAATGTTTGCTAAGTGTGCCGGGATATTTTCATTTGCTCCTCAGTGAACCGTTGCTTGAAAATGTTAGAAACACTGCTCTAATAAAATCTCCAAATATATTCGTTTTTTTATCGCCTATATCCTTCGGGTTTATTTACAAATAAGTTTTGGTGTAAATTGCATATGAAGACATGATAGCCAGCCAAACAAGTTATCATCACTACTTTCAAATAAGTTTAGATATTCTATGTCTAAAATGTGATCATATATTGCTCATGGAGATATATCGTGAAAGATGTACCAATATTGGTTGTTTCATGTTAATTTTTTTGTGAAACCATTGACTTGCTTTATAAAACCTGGGAGAGTAAATAGAAAATTTGAGTTCAACTAGTAGCTAGATGTCAGTTGGCGGGCAGATGATCTTTCTTATACAGATACAGACAGATATACATATTATGTAAAAAGGTTGGAACGAAGGTTTTGTTCGATTTTGTCGTGTATATTACATATGAAGATTCTAATGCTAATCAGTCAGCTATATGCCCTGCGTGATACACGCTTAGGCGATCATGTATCATTCGATACATGATTGACGAGGCAGATGTTTCCGTAGTAGGTTGCCATTTTTTTCTGCAGTAGACCCGTTGTCATCCAAAAATATAGAACCCGGTCGGTCCTGCTATTTACCCGTAGCTGGGGGCGGGGGAGAAGAAGAGGATTCATACCTTTCCTAAGGGTATTAACACGTTAGTGAATGTAATGGATTTGACAGGAATTCGAACTTGGCTCTCTGATTCATTAATATAGAAATGTTTAATCATGAACATATCCAACATTGATTCCAAGAAACACATTGAATATGCCAACAAGATTATAGGGGATACATTTGTAGCATTCGTTATGTTTAGATGTAAAATACGAAATCAATTCATGTCAACCTTCTTCTCTCGATATCAAATGATTCTGCTGATTTCATTGAAGTTCGGCAATTTCTTCTTTCTTTTTTTTTTTTTTTAAATCTTCTCGTTTCTCCTTTTTTCCCTACCGGATCCTAAGATCGATGTCAAGCAATTAAAAATATAGCATGGAATGATGTAGCATGTAATAATGTAGCAGGAAATGATGTAGAATGGAATTATGTAGAATGGAATGATGTAGCATAAAATAATGTACCATGGAATGATGTACAATGGAATAATGTAACATGGAATGATGTAGCATGTAATGATGTAGGATAAAGTGATGTAACATGAAATAATGTAGAATGGAATGATGTAACATGGAATAATTTAGCATGAAATGATGTAGCATGGAATAATGTTGTGTGTAATGATGTACAATGGAATGATGTAACATGGAATGATGTAGCATAAAATGATGTAGCATGAAATAATGTAGAATGGAATGATGTAACATGGACTGATGTTGCGTGGAATGATGTAGCATAAAATTATGTTTCATAGAATGATGTAGAATGGAATGATGTAACATGAAATGATGTAGCATGGAATGATGTGACACGGAATGATGTAACATGTATTCTAACAGCCCGCTGCAACGGCGAACTAATCTGATTACTGCCATTAGTTATTTCTTCAATCCTGCCTGAGTTCTTCATATTTCTGTCCCTGTGCCAAACGAAGCTAGGCTTAATAAATAACAACAATACACCGAGGTAGAGATCTCAAATTAGCATTTTCCGGCAGTAATCCATGATAATAATTATAGATTATTAATAGGCATCCAACTTCGAGACACGTTTCCTGGACATGTTTGGCAGGAGTGAAGAATTAAAGATATTCTATCTTAAAATGTATAGAATTAGAAAATGGAGAACGGATTTAAAATTAAAATAAATTATAAATAATAATAAAAGCAGGATAATGATTTGCATGCGAGAAGCGATGAATTTCTCCATTTTATGCGAATATCCTGAAGAATGAAATTGGCAAAAATTGAAAAAAAATAATTACAAAAATGGATATGAGCCAAACAGTAACAGAAGAAAGAAGAATATAAGAATAAATAAAATATTCGAAAATAAAACAAAAAAGACACAAAAATGGTAAAAACTAGAACGCACTAGGAGGAACCGAGTACTGAAATTTATGCTATTTTAGTCCAGAGTTTTCTTCCTCTTCTCTTGGAATTTTTGGTTGGAAATTTCAAAACCATAAAAAGAAAGAATCTTTTTGACTATTTAAAAAAAAATATTTATAAGAACATTCTAAATTTCCTGGTAGGTTAGTTGAAAAGAAAATAACCCAACCAAAAGTGAAAAAAAGCAAAAAAAATAAAATAAAATAAAATAAAAATAAAATAAAAAAATAAAAAAAAGAAAGAAAAAAGAGGCTAACGGTAAAAAAAAAGACAACAGAAAAAATGCGTAATGCAATGAGACGGGCGCAAAGGACAAGGAAAGAGAACACTTTAAAACTAAGACAAAAGTAAGCCATTGAAATGTGGACATTTGTTAACCATCAAAGAGGTGCGAGTCTAGGACGAAGAACATTTCTCGCTCTAAACAAAAAGGGGGCTAAAAAATAAAAAAAAAAACAACATAGCAGATAAAGGCAATTAATCCTTTCCATTGGTCGCTTTTTGTTGAAGAGATACGATGTCCTTTTTTGTTATGATTTAATTTTTACTTCAAATTTAATGATAGCTTCTGTTTAGTCCGCTATTGTCTGCTTCATTGGAAGATTTTTCTTTCTTTCTTTCTTTCTTTCTTTCTTTCTTTCTTTCTTTCTTTCTTTCTCTTCTGACGTATGAGGAATCCATTGTTACATATTTAATTTGGCACAGATTGGTGTTTGTCATTACTTCCATTTTCTTAGATTTTATTCCAGCAACCGCTTGTTTTATAGAATTTTACAGAATTTTAATTCTTTTATTCTTTCGTTTTGGGAGAATTTTATTTCTTTTTTTTCTTTCTTCCATAAAATGTTGATTCTTTCATTCACGCATTTGTTTGCGCCAGTTTTTTCTTTCTATTTTCCCTTCATTCTTTCATTTATTCTCTCATTCAATCTTTTATAAATTTTCGCATCATTTGTCCCATTTTCTTTATATTTTTCTTTATTTCTTTAGTGAAGTTATCTTTAACTCATTCAACATTATTTGTTAGTCCCATGTTTTTCTTTCTTTCTTTCTTTGATAAACTTTTGTTTGTCCTATGTTTCTTTCTTCCTTTCTCTCTCTCTTTCTTTCTTTCTTTCTTTCTTCTTTTTTCTTTCTTTCTTTCTTTCTTTCTTTCTTTCTTTCTTTCTTTCTTTCTTTCTTTGATAAACTTTTCTTTCACTCATTCGCACATAATTTGTTTGTCCCATGTTTTCTTTCTTTCTTTTTTCTTTCTTTCTTTCTTTCTTTCTTTCTTTCTTTCTTTCTTTCTTTCTTTCTTTCTTTCTTTCTTTCTTCAGACATTATTTGTTTGTCCCATGTTTCTCTTTCTTTCTTTCTTTCTTTTTTTCTTTCTTTCTTTGATAAACTTTTCTTTCACTCATTCGCACATAATTTGTTTGTCCCATGTTTCTCTTTCTTTCGTTCTTTGTTACTTTGTTTCTTTTTTCTTTGTTTCTTTCTTTCTTTTTTTGATAAACCTTTTTTTCCCTCATTCGCACATAATTTGTTTGTCCCATGTTTTCTATCTTTCTTTCTTTCTTTTTTTCTTTCTTTCTTTTTATCACACATTATTTGTTTGTTCCATGTTTCTGTTTCTTTCTGTCTTTCTTTCATTCTTTCTTTCTTTCTTTCTTTCTTTCTTTCTTTCTTTCTTTCTTTCTTTCTTTCAAATATTATTTGTTTGTTCCATGTTTCTGTTTCTTTCTGTCTTTCTTTTTTTCTTTCTTTCTTTCTTTCTTTCTTTCTTTCTTTCTTTCTTTCTTTCTTTCTTTGATAAACTTTTCTTTCACTCATTCGCACATAAATTGTTTGTCCCATGTTTTTCTTTCTTTCTTTCTTTCTTTTTTCACACATTATTTGTTTGTCCCGTGTTTCTTTCTTTCTTTCTTTCTTTTTTTCTTTCTTTCTTTCTTTCTTTCACACATTATTTTTTTGTCCTATGTTTCTGTTTCTTTCTTTTTTCTTTTTTCTTTCTTTGATAAACTCTTCTTTCACTCATTCGCACATAATTTGTTTGTCCCATGTTTTTCTTCCTTTCTTTCTTTTTATTATTTCTTACTTTCTTTCACACATTATTTGTTTGTCCCATGTTTCTCTTTCTTTCTTTCTTTCTTTCTTTCTTTCTTTCTTTCTTTCTTTCTTTCTTTCTTTCTTTCTTTCACACATTATTTGTTTGTCCCATGTTTCTCTTTCTTTCTTTCTTTCTTTCTTTCTTTCTTTCTTTCTTTCATTGAAGAATTTTTATTTCATCCATTCTTTTCTATTCTTAAACTTTTCCCGTTGTTTAATTTTTTTCTCTAAAATAATTCCTTTATTTGCCCATTCTCTTTTGCCATTTCTTTTTCTTTTTTCTTTTTCTTTATTTCTTTCTTCCCTCGATGCTAAAATGACGTGTTAAACTGGGCTGGTTTCGCACTATTTAAATTCACGATTTAAATTCTAGCACTAATCATCACGTGACGCTCATTGAAGTAATGAAAAAGTGCTGAGAGCAAATGAAAATCAACAAACGGAATCTGCTGAGAAATTAAAAGACTGAAAGATGAGAGGACGAAAATAAACTAGACAAACAATGTAAAGCTACACAAAAACAATATAAAACAATAGATATTGTTTTTATATGGTTTTTCTGTTGATTTTCTTTGTTTAACTCTAAACAATATAAAACTTAATATTCACGGAAACCATCCTCGGTTAGTGTGTACTTTCCATAGTCAGAAATGTGTTAGACTAAATAAATGTTTGGATTAAATGAAAGTTTTGGTAACAATTCGTTTTCTAAAATCTTTTGTTTTGTTTATTAAAATCTAATTACAGTATTTCTATGACCTTTGAATAGCAGACAGAAAAATACACGGAGAAATATTGGATTCGATCTGATGTTTGACAAGGATACGAATATTGAGCCACTTTCATGAATTTTATTCTTAAATTCTTATTATTTATTGATATTCCTAAAGACAGGCAAACACAGTCATTAGTTGAATTCCCGTTGATATTTGACAAGGGTTTGAATATTGAAAGATGTTCATAAATTGTTATTCTTAAATTCCTATTCTTTTTTCTTAGAATAAAGAATTAGAATTTAAGAATAAAAAAAATTATCCTTATTCTTAAGAATGAAAAACAATCTTATTCCTAAAGATAAGCAGAAATAGATATTGAATTCCCGTTGATATTTGACAAAGGTTCGAATATTGAAAGATGTTCATAAATTGTTATTCTTAAATTCCTATTCTTTTTTCTTAGAATAAAGAATTATAATTTAAGAATAAAAAGTTTTATCCTTGTTCTTAAAAAAACAAAAAAAACAAACAAAAACTTATTCTTATTCCTAAAGAGAAGCAGAAATAGTTATCGGTTGAATTTGATCTGGTGTTTGACAAGGAGCCGAGTATTGACATTTTATTTATTCTTAAATTCTTATTCTTCATTCTTATTGGTAATTTCTCATTTTTCTTATATTCTTATTCATATTATTCTTAGAAGTTTCCATCGTCTTTGTCGAAATGCTCCTTCGTCTGCAGTTTGCATACAGTCTCGTAAGGAGAACTGCGCAGAAAGCGGTAAAAGTATGTACTAGATTTGTATGCGGCTATGACTGGATCTCGTAATTGTTCCGCTTGTATAAAATTTATATCTAACTTGTAGATACAGTGTACATACAGGTATCTTTGTATAGTCAAATCTATCTATCTATCTATCTATCTATCTATCTATCTATCTATCTATCTATCTATTTTGAAAGTGTACGTATAAGTAAATAGGATTGTAAAATAATACATATTTCTATTTTAAAGTTTTCTTGTCTTTTTATATATATATATATATATATATATATATATATATATATATATATATATATACGCCCGTCTGTATGGTGATTTCCCCATATAACGTGGACACAGGGTCGAATCTTTACTTTATTAAAACTCTCGGTGTTATTCTGATTAAAACAGATTGTATGCATTCAAACATTTCAACCCACTACATATAACGTTTATAGTATATATATATATATATATATATATATATATATATGTATGTATGGGGAGAGGTTATAGTTGTTCCAACGAGAGAAAGTTGTATATGTTAAAAAGAAGAGAGAAACCGCAAAAGTAGAATAAATATTTAAAAAAAATCCACATTATAACCAAAAGCGTTTTTATATATGTATGTATGTATGTATGTATATATATATAAATTTACATACGACGTATCTCTGATATTGAGCACTTTATCCCATAAAAGTACCATACCTTAAAACTATATTTCTTCACTCACACACACACACACACACACACACATATATATATATATATATATATATGAAGAAATATACTTTTATAAATTCTTGTGGAAGACACAACTATACTTAAACATGAAAACAATGAACAAAAACTAAAAATTCTTGAAGCTATATACATAAAACAGTTGAAACCTAACCTGAACAAAATAAACTATGAACACTCGACAAATATTCTCAAATGCCTATAATTGATAACAGAAGCCATTGGTTTATAACTACGGCTTCCTATACTTAACACTTCTCGTTTTCACTCTCGCGTGATCATGTGTGATGTTCAGCGCCTCGTATGCACGAGTTTGTCGTTGCTTGTTGTGAATTACGAGATGAAATTCGGTCTCCAATGAATGACAAAAGCAATAAATAAACAAAGATAAGAAATTAAAAGTATTTACACAAATACTGTTATAAATCCAGGAAAGATAATATATATATATATATATATATATATAAAAAGTAGGACAATGTGCTTGTAAAACTGTTCGTAAATCACAAGCTCACTCTCCTCTCTATATAACGCGGTTATTTAGTCGTCGTAACATAATCCATATATATAAATATATATATATATATATATATATTTATATATATATATATATAGTATATATATATATATATATATTATATATATCTATATATATATATATATATATATTCTACAAGCGGTTACGTATATATATATATATATATATATATACCTTAGCTAATTCAATCACAATCCGACTCTGACGGTCACTCTCACTTCTCTATATATATATATATATCTGGTTATATATATATATAACCCGGCAGCATATATATATAGTCATATATATATATATATATCTGGTACATTACGGTCGAGTGGCCAGTCTTATATGAAAAAGGGAGGACCCCATAACAATATATTTATAATATATATATATATATATATATATATATATATATATATATATATATATATATATATATATATATATATATATATATATATAAAGTTTATCACTTAGCTAATTGCTGTAACTTTTAAGCATCCCGACTCCAGACGGACAGTCCAGCAATCACCCCGTCCACTTCTCATATATATATATATATATATATATATATATATATATATATATATATATATATATATATATATAACCCGCATATATATATATATATATATACATATATATATATATATATATATATATATATATATATATATATATATAAAGTGTACATTGCGGTCAACACCCAGTGGCTACAGTCTGTTTCATAAATAATAAACGAATTAACGAACCACGAACGCACACATAAACACAAGTAAAAGTAATAATGACGACCAACAAGAAATAATCAATAATAGTTAATGAGTAAGAAAGTTAACGCAGAACACTATAAAATAGCTGCAAATTTGCTTTCAGATCTACAATTATTTCCATTCAATAGCCCTTAGAATATTTCGAAACCTGAATATTACCGTTCACCCAAATAACGCAATACAATAGACCTACACATAATGCACACAAACGTATATATAGTTGAGCCGAAACACGATGTACATGCCCGACAATTACGTCTAAGCATAAAACAGACTGTCAACCCTGGGTGTTGAACTCAATGTACACTTTTATATTTACATACGACCCATTCTTGATATTGAGCACTTTAACCCATGAAGAGAGCATACCGTCATATATATATATATTGACTTTTCCGTACAAAAGTTATGTAGATATCATCCGAATGTATTATATGTACGAGTATTTTGGGCACCTCGAGGCGGTGTAATGGTTAGCAAGCTTGTCTCGCTAGAACAATTCCGACTGAGTAGTGAGTTCGATCCTCACCAGGTACCCCATACTTTTGGCCTTGTGCCACATCCAAGCTACGGTTGGAAAATCACTATATACGGTCATTTTAGCCACTATCAAGGATGATTTTATTTTTAATTATCTGGACATAAAATATGAAGAAATTTTCCGCATGTTCTGTATGTCCGTTCGCTTTCAATATATATATATATATATATATATATATATATATATATATTTAGCCATTATTTATATATATATATATATATATATATATATATATATAATATATATATAAAAAGAAATATAGTCTGCTATATTTATGGAATAAAGTGCTCAAAATCAGAGATAGAGCGTGTGTAAATATAAAAGTGAACATAGAAGTCAACACTTAGAGGCGACAGTCTGTTTTCATGCTATATGTAATCGTCAGGCCACATATGTGGCCTGACGATTGCATTTTATATATATATATATATATATATATGTATACAAGGATCTTGAAGCGCGTCAAATAAATAGCTTTTTATCTCGAACTGAATTTACTTCAGACATCTTTGTTGTACACTGAAATGTTGCTCCTGTATATATTATGTGAACAACGGTGAATCTGATTGTGGGGCAGGGTTAAGGGAGGTCAGACACGCTCGGTGGGGGTAGGGATTAATTACCTGCACCCAGAGATAAGCTCAGATATCTCCTTCATTTCTTTTAGTCTCGTACATCCGGTATGTCATCTGTAAAAACTGATTAGCAAGACCGGTTAGCATTTTATTTTGATTTTACATTCTTGAGTCCATTCATTCATTCCATAAATAGATTCTTGCATTCTTATGTTCTTATATTTTTGTATTCTTACATTCTTGCATTCATTCATTCATTCATTCAGGTGGAGCTGATCATTTCACGGAACTAAATATTTCGTTCGGACTTCTTTCTTTCATGCAAATATACATCTTTATTTCCTTACTCTCTCTTTCTCTCACACAAACACATACACTCGAACTCGCGTATACGCTTCCCTTTTTTTTCTCGCATATAAATACACTTGATATCCATGCACTCTTTCTTTATCTCTTTCCTCCACTCGCTCTGCTTCTCTCTCTCTCTTTGTTTCTTTCTCATACCATTTTCTTCTCCTCCTTCTCACACAGCAACCAACGCGGACTGACTTTGGCGTTCCTTCTAATATATGCACTTTATCATTTTAACTCCCTATTTTTCTCTTTCTCTGTCATACTATTTCTTTTCCTCTCTCTCACGCACACACAGAGGCACACACACACACTTTCTCCCCCTCTCCCTCTCCCACGTAAGCATAGACTTTCTTTCACTGGTTCATACTTAATCTTTCTCATACGTACGCATATATACTATATCTCTCTCTCTCTCTCTCTGACACACACACTCTCTTTCTTTCTCTGTCTCACATAAGCATACACTCATTCTTTTTCTGTCTTCTTTTTTGTCTGTTTGTCTCACTTTCTCTCCCCTCCTTTGTCTCATACAATGACACATTTTATTTCGCTCTCATTCTGTCTACTTTTCTGTCTGTCTGTCTGTCTGTCTGTCTGTCTGTCCCCTATTTTACACGCTTTCTATTTCCCCCTCTCTCTATGTCTCATAAAGCATAAAACATTCTCTTTTTTCTCATACTGTTTGCTTTTCGTCTGTCTGTCTCACTTTCACTTCACCTCTTTTTCTCTCTCTCTCTCAAACACAAACTCACAATTTGTCTTTCATCTATTTCTTAAGAGAAACACAATTAAGCTTTTACCCTCTTTCTCTCCCATAACCATAGATACATACACTTTATATATATATATATATATATATATATATATATATATATATATATATATATATATATATATATATATATAAAACAAACATCTACTTCTTTACCAAACTCTCTTAGATAGATACCTTTCTGAGACATCTCGAGTTGGTGTAATGGTTAGCAAGCTTGGCTCGGTAGAACAATAACGACTGGGTGCCCAATACTTTCAGCCTTGTGCCACATCTAAACTACGCTTGGAAAATTACTTTAGGGCGCTTCGAGGTGGTGTAATGGTTAGCAAGCTTGTCTGGTTAGAACAATTGCGACTGAGTCGTGAGTTCGATCCTCACTGGGTGTCCCATACTTTCGGCCTTGTGCCACATCTAAGCTATGCTTGGAAAATCACTAGATATACACCTTTCTTTTCTCTCTCTTATATACTTACTCTCTATTTCTCTCCTACATTTATTATTCTTTCAGTTCGGTAATTTTTTTCTTCTTTTTGCTGTTATTATTATTATTATTGTTATTATTATTATTATTATTGTTGTTGTTCTTCTTCTTCTTTTCTTAGTCCTATCTTTCTCTCTTATATACTGCTTTCCTATGTCTCCCCCTCTCTCTTATATACTTCGTCTTTATCTACTTCCCTCGTTTATTCTTATTTTTGTTCTCTCCCTCTTTCTCTTTCTCCCCTCTCACACACAAACACACATACGATGTGTCTTTAAAATAAAATTCCTCAATCTTTAGATTTCTCTCTCGCAATTTTTCTTTCGTTCTCTCTCTCTCTCCCCGTCTCTCTCTCTTGTATATTAAAACTTAATCTTTCTCTCCCTCTTACAGAACTGGCAGAAAAGGAAGTGTTTATACATGCGTGTTCGTCAGGTTTAGAGAGACAGAGAGACAGAGAGAGAGAGAGAAAGAGAGAGAAAGAGAATGTGTGTGTATTTGTGAGAAAGAGAGATGAGAAACAGAGAATGGAAGACGATAATTAAAGAGAGTGTGCTTGCTTTGTGAGGAGGGAGAGGGCGCGACAGAGACAGGGAGTAAAGACAGTGTTTCTGCGTGAGAAAATAAGAGAGATAGATAGATAGATAGAAGAGAGAGAGAGAGAGAGAGAGAGAAAGAGAGAGAGAGATTGTGTGTGTGATAATTTTCCCCAATGTACGACGGGGAGATGGAAACATAGAGGTCGTTTTTTTTTTGTATAAGAGAGACAGAGTGTAAAATATGTGCGTAGAAATAAAAAAAATGTTATGTGTGTGTGTGTGTGATAGAGAGAGAGAGAGAGAGAGAGAGAGAGCGCGTGAGAGAGAGAGAGAGAGTGTCATGGAGAAATAAGACTGTTTTTTTATGAGTGAGAGTAAAAAAAAATCTTTTATATCTGGGAGCAAGACAGTAAAACAAAGTGAGAAAGAATGGGAGAAACACTATAAGAAATTGAGAGAGAGGGAATTTATAAGAAAGTGAGTGAGACAGTGTAAGAAATTAAGAGAGAGAGAGAGAGAAAGAAAGAGCAGCTAAAACAAATTCAGAGAGAGAAATAGAGGGTATAAAAGAAAGAAAGACAGTGTTCATTTAAGCATGCCCTTGGCTTGTAGAAAAGTTATAATTCGCGATATCACACGAAGCAAACAAACAAGAAATCTATAAAGTTATATAATTTGTCGTTTAAACAGTGAAATCTTTTCTTCTCTTTTAAACTTTACATTGGAATTGGCATGGAATGACAGCGAAGGAACAATGTTTTCGTAACAATGGTCTTTGTTTAATAATATTTGGAGGCTAATCCTGTATGTTGAAATGCATGAGTCATTTGTTTTAACGTCACAACGGATTTCAAGACAGTTCTTGATAGCAGAGACTGATACATCAAATTAATGATGTCCCTGTCAACATGCCTTTCTTTCCCTCTCGCCTTTCTTTTCAATTACTCTGCGTGTCTGGATTTTATTCGCTGCACTTCTGGTTAATTTAAGTCGTTCTTTACAGACGCATACATATGTATATATATATATATATATATATATATATATATATATATATATATATATATATATATAATTGGTATATACGGAATGAATTCCAATAACCAACAATTACTATTCTTCTTAAAAGAGTGCTCAATAAAGAATAGAGCAGATATAATTCTTTATTTAAAAAGAAAAAAATATAACATAAATATGTTATAAAATCACTACAAAAATAGTCATTTTGTTTCAACACCTCCGGTGTCTTATTAAGTGATGATTTTGAATGTAAAATAACATCAATAAAATAACATTCAACATCATTTTGATAAGACATGGAGGTGTTAAAAAAAATGACTATTTTTAGTAGTGATTTTACATATTTATGTTATAAATTTTTGTTAAAAATTTTTTTAAATAATATAAATATATATATATATATATATATATATATATATATATATCTTTGAGTCTGGGATTTATTCGCCGCATTTGTTAATTTAAAGCATGCATTCAAAAACTTATCTATCTATCTATCTATCTATCTATCTATCTATCTATCTATCTATATATCTATGTATCTATCTGTCTCTGTCTCTGTCTCTGTCTGTCTGTCTGTCTCTCTCTCTCTCTATATATATATATATATTAACGGTTTCGTGTTTCTGAATTCTGCTTTCTTTCATGCTTTTTCAATTTTATATTTCTGATTTTTATTTCTTTCTTTCTAAATTTTTAATTCCTGTCTATTTCTTTTTCTTCATTTCTTTCAGTCTTTCACATTTCACATTCTGGATCTTTCTTACTTTTTAAGAGTTACATCATCTTCATCTATCTATCTATCTATCTATCTATCTATCTATCTATCTATCTATCTATTTGCACATCAGTAATTACGGAACTTAACAAAAGAACAAATAATTTATTTTACACAATAAATGTTTATGTTTTCAACATAATCGTTCTTGGCATTGCACTTAATTCACTCTTAAATTTTCATACGCATAGACTGAACATGAAGCAATTAAAAAATTCATCTCAATGTATTTATTTGCAATAACGGATTTGTATTAATTAATATGCTTTCTAGCCTACCCACAAAACATAACAACATCGCCAACAAAATCTTGTCTATCATTCTGCCATAGTGATGATGTCTGAGATGTTGATTCAGTGATGATGATGATCGAAATCCTCGAAACAAAACAACAAAAATACGAACTTTTGGTCAGTTTATCTAAAATTATGATAGATGTAAAATATGATACACGAAAATTGGAAAAATATATTTAAAAATTGGAAAGATTTTGTCATTTAAATTTAACAAAGCTTGCTCATATAGCCTTCATTTATCAACTTGTCTTGCAGCAGACTGCGTGTAGGGAATATCAAAAAGCAAGACGGAAAAATACGGACATTTTATATACGGACAGAAGAAATACCGGCATTTTATATGTAGATATAGAAAATCGTAGAAAAATTCAAACTATATTTCAGATCAAACATTATGTATTGAAGAAAACGTTGTTCTCTGTGTATGATGAGTTCTTTATTCTGAATAGTTGGGACCTAAAAAAATCTTACTGTGCAACGCTTTAGCGAGCATCTGGTTTGTTTGAAGAATGTTCTGCAATAGAAAGTAATGTTTCTGAACAATGAACAGTAATTTCACTGCATGATAATACTTGTCCATATGTCTCAAAGGCAGTGCCTCAAATGATCATAGAACAAGGATGTAAAGTTCTTACTTATATGGCGTATTCTTTGGATCTGTTAAATTCAGTTAAACTCATCATTTTTGAGCAATTTTCAGGAAGATTTTAAATTCCAGTAAATAATGATTGAATGAAATCCGGAGTCGTTCTTGGTTTGGTTTATTTTGTTTTACGGCATATAAACACCACAATAGGTTATTTAACGCCGACGAGATTTTTTAGAATAGGTTCGTATGAATAGAATATGCATTTGTAAGAAACCAGTTTGTAGATCAGGTTTCATTGACGTATTTTTGTTAAAAGTGTTTTTGTCGAGAGTCAAATTTATTGCTGGTAATATTTTTTTTCAAAAATGTGTTGCTGGTATTTTTACTATAAAAATCTATTTTTATACTTTCATAGTGTTTCGAATCCCAGATTGATGGTTAACTATTTGCCCATAGATAGTACCCAAATAGCAGCTACCACCCCGGATTTGGGTGGACCTGGCAGCAACAGCAGTTAAGAGGTAGTTCCAGTCTCCTCAAAAGCTTTCGATCCGAGGTCTTGCTGCTGGATGTAGTTTATCATCATACCCAGGACGTTGTCCTTGGTGATGAACTGTATATTCTATCTGAAAGGAAACGAGAGATCAGCGAAATAGTTTGATGGTTGATAATAATTTAATACGAGAGTACATAGATAAAATAAGCTTGCAAACTAACGCTGTAAACATTTGCATCAAATTACTATGATTCTCTGCAGTTTTCCCAAGAATATGTGCATTTTTGTAAGTTCTCACGTGTGACTTTCGTGTACTTCTGCCTAGACTTCCTCACTCAGGTCAAAGCCACACCCTTGCAATCGGAATATTAAGTTGGGGAACGCGAACATATCACGGGGATGAGTTCAGGTTAATGCAAACCACGAGTTGTCGAACGTTTATGCAAGCCAGTAATTGTCAAACAACGATTTATATGAAGACGGGTGCATTTTCAGGAGGGAAATCCACGTCGGTGATCTTTCCCAGGTCTTGAAGTATACACCAAATGCTACCCATTTCTTCTTCTATGTCCTTTCAAGACGTGGTCGATCATGATTCTCCACAATTTCCTGTTATTTGCAGTTTCTCTTTTTGATATCCCTCCTAATCTCTAATCTTTTGTCAACCATTTTACACAAGTTCGTCCTTCTTGCCGTCAGTATGTCCTGTGAGTGTCGAATTTTCCAAGTCGTCTTTCCTCATTACGTACCCAAGAACATTCAACAGTCTCTTTCTTATTTTATGTATAAATGTCCTTTTTGTTTCTATTTTATTTAAAACATTTTATCTCACATGTCCAGTCCTCAGCCTCCATCGGGACAACCATATTTCTGCTGTTTCAAGTCTCTTCCTCTGGGACGAGATTGTCCAGTATTTACTGACATATAGGAGGACTGATATTACATAACATTTCAGTACTGTTTTCTTTACTTTCACGAACGTTTCCCGTTTCTTAATACTTTGCTTAGCATTTGGAAGGCATCTTTGCTTTTCCAAAGCGCCTTCGGATTTTGGGGTCTCGTTTTCCGTTCTCTGTTAAAACACTTCGGAAATATTTAATTTTGATTTTGCTATCTCTTTTTTGTAGTTCTTATGTTTGGCTGCCCTTTTTGCTGACAACCAGGCGTTCAGTCTTCCGTCTTCTTCAGTTCCTCTACGTAAAGACTTGTATTTATAATTTGACCGGAAGAAAAAAATGTTAATACTACGTGAAAAATGTTTTGAGAGTCAAGAGAGTGTTGGGAAAAAAATCACCCCCCCCACACACAAACGATTAGGCGATTCTGCTTCATAAATTTGGTGACTTACACTGACTACTGTTACTTTCTGGGTTATATCTTGTAACCATATCATGCATCACCGATGATGATTTAAGTCATAAAAATGAAATTCTGCAAATGGTTACGCCATGTTGTTTCTAGTCGTCTCTTAAAAATGTATTTTGGTTTGTACACATCCGTTAAAATATGCTTGAACGCTCCAGTATAACAATTTTGCATTTCCATCTACATTACAGTTAG